ATGTGCTTCTATCCCGCTCATTTTCCTGATGATGATTTAGTTCACTTAACACCCTGCTTGCAATTTTCTGTTAGGAATGGCTACCAGAGAAATGTACAATTAACAATTAAAGTCAGACAAAGAGACATGTAATTAGAGACACTGATGCCTAGTGATTGGTAATACGAACTTGATTTTCAGCTCTCTTCTCTGCTGGGTAACCAGGCTAAGAAAAAAAAAGGAAAGGAAAGATATTCTCAGTGAAGATGATGTCTTATCCCAGAAATTTATTTTGAACATCAAAAAATAAGAGGAAAAACTCATTTCTTGAAGAGATGAATTTCTTCAGCTAGATATTAAGAATCTCCTACAAAAACCAAGGGTGATAAATCAAAAGTTTAGTTCCTCATTTTGAAAGCTGCTTTCCTTCTAAGCTTTGCTCAGCTGATGGCTTGAACTTTTGAGGCATTTTCTCTTGCCAGGCTTAAAAATGGAAATTGACTTCTGTTAAGGAGTAATTGTTGGAGAGAATCTATTTTATATCCAAAACGTTAGGCATAGGAAATACTTGTAAAGCATTATTTCTTTTTTCTAGCTGTCTTAGTTAGTATTTAGTGGTCAGTAAGGCAATATAAATGTACATATCTACTTATTAGAGCTATTGATCAATTAAGCAATTATTAGCTGATATGCACCACATAAGGGAGAAATAAATAAAATGAAATGTAATAAGTTGCCATGGTAGCACAGTGGTTAAGTGCAGTACAAGTAGTCCTTGACTTACAACAGTTCATTTAGTGACCATTCAAAGTTACAATGGCACTGAAAAAAGTGACATGTCCATTTTTCACATGACCATTTCATCATCCCCATGGTCACGTGATCAAAATTTGGGTCCTTGGCAACTGACTCATATTTATGACCGTTGCTGTGTCCTGGGGTCATGCGATCAACTTTTGTGACTTTTTGACAAGCAAAGTCAGTGGGGAAGCCAGATTCACTTAATATCTGTGTACTAATTTAACAACTGCAGTGATTCACTTAACAACTGTGGCAAGAAAATTCACTTAACAAACGTCTCACTTAGCAACAGAAATTTTTGGCTCAATTGTGGTCATAAGTCGAGGAATACCTGTATTTCAGACAAATACTGCCTATACCGCTCCTTTGCCCATAGCTTGGAGTTTGATCCTGACAGGGCTCAAGGTTTACTCAGCCTTCCCTCCTTCTGAGGACCCAGATTGTAAGGGACAATAGGTGAATAATGCTTCTATACTTGTAAACCGCCCAGAGAGTGCTGTAAAGCACTATGAGGTGATATATAAGTCTAAATGTTATTGCTATTGCTAGAAACAATATTACAAGACACTGTACTTCAGACTCTCATCTTTTCTTTTTACTATTTTTTTGCTTAATACTGTTAATGTTGAGCCCACATGCAACTGATATCCACTGTTCTTGGAATAGTCCTGTTGTCATTTAAAAAAAAGTCTTATATTATATTATTGCTGCTATATGCAATTTTTTTAAGGTAAAGCATTTTGAGGAGAGATGGCAAACTTGCTTGCTTTAGGAGGCCTACAGAAGGTGGAGTTTTAGTAAGTGAGTTGTGAACATAGACAAAATTATAATTATTTTTATTCAGATTTTTCCTTCTCTGCAAATGGAAAACTGCATGTTTTATTTTTGTTCTTTTTTATGTGGCAAGTTGATCAAATTTGACAGGTTGTGAGGGTCATGTATCTTATCTAACGACAATTCCTAATAATAATAATGATGATGATGATAAAGTTGGAAGGGACCTTGGAGGTCATCTAGTCCAACCCCCTGCTCAGGCAGGAAACCCGATACCATTCCGGACAAATGGCTGTCCAGTTTCTTCTTAAAAACTTCCAGTGTTGTNTCAGGAAGTTTCTCCTTAGTTCTAGGTTGCTTCTCTCTTTGGTTAGTTTCCACCCGTTGCTTCTTGTCCTGCCTTCAGGCGCTTTGGAGAATAGCTTGACTCCCTCTTCTTTGTGGCAGCCCCTGAGATATTGGAACACTGCTATCATGTCCCCCCTCGTCCTTCTCTTCGTTAAACTAGACATACCCAATTCCAGCAATATATTAATATATTCTGTAATAGCTCTTACTTCCCTTAGAAAAGAGTCTCACCGGCCTTAGTAGGCTTTCATTCTAATAATACTACATGGAATTTAGTTTTTCTTATGTGTCCTCTTTGTAAGAGAACTGATGGTATTGTGCTATTGCTGTTTAACTAAATATTTCTTATTTGTGCAGAATACGAAGAGGAACTTGATAGAAAATTTGAACTGGAGAAAAATGTACTGGGGTTGAGAAAGGTAAGGTCAATGAGATTACTTAATAGTTTAAAGTGCATTGAAATGTGATTGAGACTGAATGACAATAAGCGGTGCTGAGTTTTGAGGCCTAATGTATTAAATTATATTCAAGATGAGGGTAGAGCATTTTGATACAAATTATGATAAATCCTGTGTCCATCCAATGCGAAACAGCTTGTCAAATTGTCATGATACGATTTGTCAATTAAAACGGCCTGTAGTACTTAAAAGAAAAATAGAATTAGCATAATGTTAAATTTTGAATATTGTTTGCTGTAAACCCTTGATGCTGGCTGAAGGGTGGGTCAAAAGAGGCAACAGTGTGGTTACAGCATCACAATTGAAGCCCTTCCCCTTTATACATGTATGCATCATTGATGCATAATCAATGTGGGCAGCTTGTTTTGACTCCCACTGTGGGTACTAAAGCTTGAGTGTGCAAATAGCTGCAGTTTAGCTGGCACACTCACCTTTCAGTGCATACTATTTCTTAATAATATAAGCTAAAATTGCTTGGAAACAATAACTAAAATTATTTTTATTGGGGGTACCACAAATATTAAATATTTCAGATTCCATTTCTTTTACGATGTGTTGCCTTATAGCTAAAAACATACCCATGTTTGGTATGTTTTCAGATATTTTTTTCCAGATATAAGTATGTTTTCAGATACAAGGGTATTTGGAATACTTGAGGGACGGAAGAATGAAAAAGGAGGCCATTCTGGGTTTAGGTGCAGATGTCGATCAGATCCAATCTCTATTTAATTCTTTCTGCAAACAATAGCTTCAGCTAAAAATTTCTTCCAGTCAGCACCTTCTATAATTTCAGTTGTGCTGAGTTGAGCTAAGTTTCATTTTTATAAATTAGTTTCATTTGGAATACTTAGAAGACTGTTTTGGCATGGCACTTGGAAGCTGAATAGTAGCCTGTCAATTTTAATATAGTGTACATTGTAGAATGTAATTAGGGTTCTTGCATCATGCAGCTCCTGAGATGCACAATTAAAAAAGTGAGTGGCTTTCTGGGTACCAGATCATAGCCCTTCTCTTGATAAAGTACCTAAGTCAAAGAACTGACTTCTATTCAGTAGAGTAGGGGTGTCAAACTTGCAACGTCATGTGACGTATCGTGACATATCGTGACTTTTTTTCCATTGCCAGCAATGGGGTGGATGTGGTTTAGGCATGACGCATCTGGCCCATGGGCCGGCAGTTTGACACCTCTGCAGTAGAGGGATAGAAGTCTATACTTCTTTCTTCTGCGTTCCCATATCCTCCTTCAAACAACTTGTCCACCATACTTTTCAGAAGTCACCCTTGAATGTACTGTATATATACAATAGTTTGTAGAAAGATATGTAATAATAAGACCAAAGTTCTTTGCCAAGAAACCTGAAAATCTTGGGGACAAAGGTTAATTCTAAGCTTTTAATGTAAATAAAATTTGACAATTTTTGGATGATAGCTATGAGAGTTTGCCTTTAGAGACATTACTCCTTCACAACTGTTAATATTCCTGCACTGTAGGTATGTTACATTTTAAGCAGCTTATTTATGTCAATTTATATGGCTGTAACTCTGGATGACTAACAAACTATTAAAAATACTATAGCAGTCAAAATACCAAGGTGCATCAACCAGACCGGTCTGACCGGGGGAAAAAACCCAACTTTCTATATATTCCCTTGGCTCGGCTGACAAAAGAGGGGAGGAGAGCTGGTGGCCTGGAGGTTAATACAACTGCCTAGTATGCAGGCGGCCCTGGTTCGAATCCCATAAAGGGTATGAGTAGCTGATGAGAGCTAATAAGCTTGAAATAGCTATTCTAGTCTCCCATTTAACTCTTTAACTCTTTGTCAACAAAAAAGAAATTCGAATTTGTAATGTATCGCAGTAGCAACTTGAGCCTGCTTAACGCCCCTAGTTTGGGGGGCTGCAAGGTAAAAGTGATTATAACAGTAGAACTGCAGTGTAGCAGTCAAAATACCAAGGTGCATCAACCAGACCGATCTGACCGGAAAAAAACTTTTTATATATATGTTTATTTTATTTATGAAATTTTTACACCATCCATCCTGACCTAAGTGATTGTTATACACACACACACACACACACACACACACACACACACACACACAAATACAGTACATTTCCCAGCCAACTATGCACAAATTGGCTCCTAAAACCAGCAGAATGGCTCTGTTATTCTTTTGACCTCTATCTCTGTGGAAACAGCCAGGTATTTAAGGCTTTTTAAAAAGTGGGCAGAATCAGAGCCATCCATTCCTTGAATGTGTCATGTTCCAGAAACCAGGCACTGCTATGGAGAAGGCATGCTTTCTAGGTCCTGATAGACGCCAGTCCCTAATTGATGGGATGTGAAATAGGCTCCTCCTGTCTGATCTAACAGGACGATGGGAGTAATGTGGTCTTTCAAATACCCTGGCCCATTCTATATAAGGTTTCACAGGTAACAACCAGTGCTTTGAATTGCACCAACAGGAAATTGGGAGTCAGTGGAGCTTGTGGAGCAAAGGTATAACATGGCATAACAAATTACATCTATAACTACCCAGGTTGCTGCATTCTGAACTAATTGAAGCTTCTGGATGCTCTTCATGAACAGCTCTATGTAAAGCACATTGCAGTAATCCACTTTTGATCATAACCAAAGTCCTGTGTCCTGATCCAGGCAGGGGTGCACTTAGTGCACATGAACGCTCTTCAAAGGCTCCCCTAGAATGGCTGTGACCTACTCTTTGAACAGGACTCATGAATCAAGAAGAACCCCCAAGTTACATACTGATTTTGTCTGGAGTATGGCAACTCTATGAAGAATAAATGACTGAAAATTACCAGATCCAGGAGGCCATACTATCCAAAACTGCTCTGACTTGCTAGGGTTGAGCTGAAGCCTGTTTTCCATCGGGATGTCTATAGCTTTCAGGTACTGAGATAGAACTGCTACAGTATTGTTTGGCCAGCCAGTAGCAGAGATACAACTGAATATCATCAGCCTAATAATACTGTACATGCCATTGAAATGACCTGGCTTAGCAGCTTCATATAGATGTTGAATAGGAGTGGGAAGAGAATCAAGCCTGGAAGGGCAAGAAGAGCTGTGGGGCAAAATTTCCTCCTTCCTCAATACAGCTTGGAGTCCATCCAGGACAAAGGAAAAGAGCTAGTATAACATTGTGTCTCCATCTCTTAATTCCTGGAGGCATCAGCAACTTAACAGTCAATGACATTGAAGGCTGCTGAGAGATCAAGAAGAGCACAAATGGATGTGCTATCCCTGTCCAGCTCCCTCCAGAGATTGTCCAAAGTGCACATTTCATTCCATATCCCAGACTGAAACCCAATTGGAAGGGTTTCCAATAACCCACTTCATCTAGGGCCCTCTGAGCTTCAAGGCAATTACTACATGACTACAGTCACCGTAAATCTGTTAAACAGACTGTAAAGTCATTTGAGGTATTTTTCCCCTCAGTCAGCTCAGTCTGTTTGTTTCTATTTTGTCTGTTATGTAACATGCTCAGTTGTTGCCTAATGTCAAAATTGTATGGCTACAACTGGGCCCCAAGTCTTGGCTAGTTATTTCAAACCTACGTGAGAATTTTATTCTATATTTCTGCAGCTCACACCTATGTATACTTTTCCTCTGGGTCTATTTTTCAGGCTTTTTTCTCTGTTTCCTTTCCTTGGCCTTCTGTGTTTACCATGGCATGTTGATTTCTCAAATGCCTGTGCATTTCCAAGGCTCAGCATGTTTCTTGTTATTGTGTATGCTTTTGTGTCCCTCCTTTTTAGAAATAGGATAGCACAATACAAGTAGTCCTCATTTATTGATCACAGTTGGGACCAGCAACTTGATTGTTGTGAGGTGGTCACAACCATGGTGTGTTTACCATCATACTTCAGTTTTCTTTTGCTTTATAGATCTGTGAAGGTTGTAAATGTGAAGATTGGTTGAAAATTATTTTTTTTGCCACCATGTAACTGTGAACAGTCACTGTATAAAGCAGTCTCCAAACAAGGAGTATAATTGTGGGTGGCTATTGACAAGATTTGGATAGCTCAGCCAATGGTAACTAATGTCTTTATTATAGCTTAGTTTCTGACACTTCTGGCTACCTCCTGCTTTTTGATAAATAGAAGGAGCCAGCACTTATATGAAAATCCCATAGCATAGACACATTTTTGTATTTAATATGAAAGGGCCATTAGCTGTTGCACAATAGTTTCCTTTCTCATATTGCAGGACTACAGATGTTGAGAAGCATAACGCTATTTGTTGCATTAACATTTTTCATGGTAACTTATTTTGAGTTTAAAGCAAGAAAGCTGTTCTTGGGACATACAGTATATTTGAAATCTGTGCCACACTCCTCAAGGAATGGAAGCATAAACACAGACAATGATGATTGCCTGCTTTCTGTTCTAATTTGGAAATTCCTTTTGATCAACACTGTTGCAAAGGATGTTCTTGGCAGGTCTCCTAAGGACAGATTCCAAAAGTGAACATTGCCTTGTAATTTGAAAGGGAAACATTAGGAGACAAAAGGCAATATTTTTTGTTTACCGTTGCATGCTATCTCCTACCTTTCTGCAGTTTGAAACAGCGATTTAAATAAAATGTAGACATAAAGAAGAAAAAAAGGAAACTAAATGCAGCTACTAAATGGCAGTTTGTCACATAGACTAATAAAAGAATTTTGCTCCCCTCTCGGAATGCAATATTTTGGAAAGGCTACTCATGGAGATAGTTTCACCAGCCAAATGGCAATTAGTTGCAGTCATCATTTTGGTAGGGGCCCACTTACTTTTTTTTGGGTGGGGGAATTCCCCGTTTCTCCTTTTCCATTAAGTGGATAAATTCTCTAGTTACACATTAAATATATAAACACACTGAACATCTCTTTTTAAGTACAAGCCACAATGGTTTGGCAAGGGAGATTTTCTGGGAAAGTCAGAATAAGTATTACTGTTGGTGTCAGTAGCAATTTCTGTCCAGAGCTGAATGGCGCCTTTTGGAAAGAGGTTTTCTCACAACATCCTTTGCTACCTTTGTATCAACATCTGAACATAAGGGCAGTGGGTAGGTCAGTGATGGCGAACCTTTTAGAGACCGAGTGCCCAAAAACTGGCCCCACCCTGGCTCCACCCCCTGCTCCGCCCCCGGTCTGCCCCCATCACCCCCCGCCTGCCCGCAGGGCCACTCACCGCCTCCAGGGCCCGCTGTAGATTGCCCAGGCAGCCCAGCAGCGCTATGGCGGCCACACCCTCTGCCCACGCCCTGCAGCATCAGCTATGCACAATGGGGTGTGAGGGTAGAGTCTTGTCTACGCTGCCTGGCTGCCATGTCCTTGGCTGCGCTGCTCTGCGTGGGCCACGCTCAGGGGTGACTCTCCTTCAGGGAGGCTGCTGGAGAGGAGGGGGTCATGGGAGGAGGCTATGCTGGGACAACGGCACGTGTGCCAACAGAGAGGGCTCCGAGTGCCTTCTCTGACACCCGTGCCATAGGTTTGCCACCACTGGGGTAGGTCTTTCCGTTGTTAAGCTGTACCATGACAACACACAACAGCTGTGATCTATAAGTGCAGCACAATTGACTAGGGCTTATAACTGATTGCAGAAGGAGCTGAGGTCTCTTTGCAAAAGCTTCTATCGGAGCTGGGACCTTGCATTTAGAAGTCTCTAATACAGTGATTCTCAAGCTTGGCAGTTTTAAGATCTGTGGACTTCAACTCCCAAAGTTTTCCAGCCAGTGTTGCTCCAAATGGCTGATTGGGGGATTCTGGGAATTGAAATCCACAGAACTTAAAGTAGCGAAGATTGAAATACACGGCTCTAGTGAATATAGGAATATTCCTTGCTTCTGGCAGCTATTTCTGGAAACAAAAAGACAACAATACAAAGTCCAAAGAAACTCTGTAACAGTGTAGTCGACTTTTTGTAATGGCTATGAGACCTGAGCTACTAGATTTTGAGACTAAAATGCAGATGCCTTTGACCACTACTATCTACATCAAATCCTTGTGGGACTGCCTTTCCCCAGTGATTTCTGCCCATAACATCAGGTCTTGTGAAGGGAGGCAACATCAACCATGGGGTCCCAGGAAAGTTGCCCTCTCTGTTATTGTGCCTGCTCCCAAAGATCTTTTAGGAGGCCATGAAATCCTGACTCTTCCTTCAGGAATTGGGCCCTAACTATTTGTTGTGCAGCTGCACCATGACATATGGCATAGAAGAAATTTTAATGAAAGGCCCTCAGCCTGATTTTGTGTTATGTGTGTGTGTGTGTTTTACAACTGCTGATATTTTTATCATATGTTTGCCACCCATGGTTTCATTGAATAGATAGGCGGCCTTATAAATTGGCATTGGATTTCCAGTAATGATCTTATGTGAAGATGTCTTCAGGAAGTCTAAGGGAGTGTCCGCCTTGGACTTAAAAAATATTAGGTGACAGAAGTGAATTAATCAAATGAGAATGCCTTTCAGCCAGCCACCAAGGCTAGTTTTTACTAACCATCAGTGAACCTACATGGAAATGCCCCTGTGGTGAGCTTTGTATTACAATAAAAAGACGTTGAAAAAGAAGCAAGAGGTATTGCATTGAAGTGCTGAAACTTAGAGTATAGCAAAAACCGACAACTTCATGTAGCTACAGTTCTCCCAACTGCATGTATTGGAAATGAATTAGAAAATAAATAAATTAATGCACTTCCTATTCTGCATCTAAATGGCAAGATAGGGGTAATAAGAAGGCTAGCAGAGATTGACTCATCCATGCCATCACTAGTATTTTGTGTTATTACAACATTCTCTGGCTAATGTTCAAGGTTTCTATAAATCTATATAAATAAAAATGTAAATGTTCGTTGGTTCAAAATCTTAAATCTCTGAAAGTTCTTCACCGATTGCTTTGAAATTTTGACACAACATTGCATTCGAATACATGCGTGTTTCTATATACAGTGCCTACTATTATATAGATGTCACACCTGTGACAGGTAAAAACAAAAAAGGGCCAATCTTTAGAATTGTGCGGTTTAGATCTAGACACGGATTGTTTCTCACATGGACAATTATATGTTGCGTGTTCTAGAGTCGGCAAACCAGACAATCTGTATATCTGCACAGACAATGGAACAACAAAAAATATTGTATACCCACAAGCATTGTGAAATTAAACATATTACAAACGTGTGCTTTCTCTTTTCTTTCTTTTCCATTTAACCAGACTGAGCCACAGCAACGCGTGGCCAGGTACAACTAGTTATTATATAGAAATCATTTGTTGTTGTTATTTTGTGCATTTAAGCTATTCTTCTGATGCTTGCCTGTAGTTTTTTTTGGCAAGAAATGGTTTACTGTTGCATTCTTCCTAGGGCTGAGAGTAAGTGACTGACTCAAAGTCATCAAGCTGGCCTTTTGCCTAAGATGGGAATAGAGCTCATGATTTTATGGTTTCTGGTCTGCTGCCTTAACCACTGTACCAAATTGGCTGTCATTGAAATCATCACTTAACAGGCTATTTATGGGATTCTTATAATAATAATTAAAAAAGAAACAAAAGAATAAGTGGGTAAAGGTTCCTAGAGCCTTCACTGACAGCCTTGCTAAGTCTTACTGTTGTGTTCTATGCAATAAATCCATTTGGGTATTTTTTTCTGGTTCCTAGCATGAAATATTACAGTGATGTGATATGAGCTTCTCCGAGTTGGGTCTCTATAATGTGTATCCTTCATCTTCAGCTAACATGGCAACGTTTTGGAGATGATGGGAATTTCAGTACCAAACATCTTATATGTTCAGTTTCTTTATAAATAAGCTCATTTCAAAAGAGATTAATGATAGTTTGATTCCACTGATGTCTAGGATCCAGTTGATTTTGAATGGAGTTTCTGGATGGAATGGGGCAAAGGATATATATTGTGGCTTCTTTTTGGCCACCTGATGGTATCACTGATATCCAGCATCTACATGAAAAAGGTACGTGATTTTGTTTTCGACTTAACATTTTCTCCTCTGCTTTCTACCGAAATTGTAATAATCTGTAACTAGAATTACAAAAATCCATATTTAGAGTATAAATGCTTAAATGATATAGCTTGTCAGTTTTTGTTATTGCTGTTGTATTTGCATCTTCCCTTTCTTCAGTGATGCTTCAGACTGGTGACTGTGTTGGAAGATGGGATACAAGTGAATCAGGTGTTTTTTCCCCCCTCATTTATATGTTACTCATGTGAAAGGCTTTCTTGTGAATACAGTATTTGTTCCCCCCACAATACTGTTTGTGTTCAGCAAAGATTGAAGAGGATTCAGCAATGCTTCTGGATTCTCCCCTGCAACAGGGACCCCAAACAATTGAGGCTCCTGATCATAGGAATAAACATCCTGGAGTGCAAACCTGAGCTGCTTCAGTCTTTCCTTCAGCATGTAAGACCCCAGAGCCCAGCTGTGTTGCCCTTGAATCATGCTGAGGTCTCTCACATAAAAATTTGTGGAGAGGGTTACATTTTATAGGCAAGACAACACGACAAAGGTTTTGACTGATATCCCTCATTTCCTCTTTCTGTCTCCCCTATTACTGTTTTACTTGTTTTATTTATTTGACTATCAGAAGAAATAAATGTGATATATGTAACATCACTGTACAGAGTTTCCCCTAGGTAGCAGTCATGATATTATAGTGTTCCTTAGAAGAAATGCTATATTTTATTTGCATGATGTCTCGGTAAAAATAGGAACTGAGGTTTTTTTTTAGGAGGAGAAGGCACAAAACATTCTGTTGCCCCTTCGACCCTTGCTACCCTACGCTTTGCTGCCCTTGCCACTCTGCGGCCTGCCCTGCAGTCCTGTCACCCTGCCCTCTGCTGCCCCTGCACTCCACTGTCTCTGCCACCCAGCACTCTACTGCCTTCATCACCTTGTTTTGTTGTCCTCTGTGCTCTGCCTTGCATGCCCACCACCCTGCATGTGGCTGCCCCTGCTACTTTGTGCTCTGCCCTACACCCCTGGTGCCCCCCTATGCCCCCCACCTTGGCTCTGCTTGCCTTTGTGAAGCCAGGCACCCTCATCAGTAGCAGGAAGAAGAAGGCAGGGGTTTGGCAGAACACAGGGCAGGGGTGCATGGCAGAACGGCAGGAATGGTGGAGTAACAGGGTGGAGGATGACTGGGTGGCTAAAAGGACAGAGATGGGGGAAATAGGCAGATGAAGTGCACCTTGCAGTTGTAAATGCAGCCTGAATTTTGATCACCGGACTGCGAGGCTGCTGCAATGGCTGTAACTTTGAGGACTGGGCATAAGTACCATTTGTTCAGTGCCTTTGTAACTTCAAATGGTCACTGAACAAATGATTGTTAAACTGTATTCTTATTGACAGTTTAGGACAGCAATCTAAATATAGTAATCTGAATAATATCACATTTTAAAAATAACTTGTGGACAGCTTGTGGGAGGATTACAAGTAACAAGTAAAATGTTGCTATAATTACAGTGCAAGCAATTGTGCAATTATTTTTAAATGAAAATAGTTGTTTTAGTTTGTTGATTTGAAGCCACTGCTGTCAGATAGATTTTTAAATCAACAGTATATACTAGTGGATGATCACTTGACTATGAGCCAGCCGTGTGCAGCAGCAACCCAAAAAGCTAATACAATCCTGTGTTTTATAAACAGAGGCATAGAATCAAGATCATGCGAGGTATTAGTACCGCTTTATAAAACCCTAGTAAGACCACACCTGGAATACTGCAGCCAATTTTAGTCACCATATCACAAAAAAGATGTTTAGAGTTTGGAAAAAATTCAGAGAAGAACAATTAAGATGATCAAAGGCCTGATACTAAAACATACGAAAAACGGCTGCGGGACTTGGGTTTGGCTAGTTTAAAGAAAAAAAAGAATAGAGGAGACATGATAGCAGTATTCCAATATTCCAGTATTCCAGTATCTGAGGGGCTGCCACAAGCAAGAGGGGTCACCAGAGCACCAGATGGAAGGACGAGAAACAATGGTTGGAAAATGATCAAAGAGAGAAGCAACCTGGAATTAAGGAGAAACTTCCTGACAGTGAGGACAGTCAACCAGTGGAACAGCTTGCCTCCAGAAATCATGGGCGCTCCATCATTGGAGATTTTTAAGAGACTAGACATTCACCTGTCTGAGACAGTATAGTTTCTCCTGCTTGAGCAGGGGACTGGACTAGAAGACCTCCAAGGTCCCTTCCAGATCCTATCCTATCCTATCCTATCCTATCCTATCCTATTCTGTAGTTCCTACTGATCAACTTAATTAAGCAAGGGCTGCGTATATTTTTATTTGTTTTAATAAGAACATTACTTTCAGGTCAGCGTGAAAGAGAGAATTCTTATAGTTCCTCAGTTTCATCTGAAAGGTTTTCTTAATGAAATGAATAACTTCACTCCTACAAAATTGACTGGGGTAGTTATGTTCAGAGGCTTTGTTTTCAAAGGAAGCATGGAGAAAAGCAAAATGGCTTCTATCTACACTGTTTTTACTTGTCCACAGCAACATGCCACATTATATTACAACTCTGATGTCACACAGACCTGAGAGTTATTCCAGTGTTATGGCATATAGTGTTTGGCTGTTGCTCAGGTTCCTGTTTATTCACACTGCTCTGTGGTTATGGGCCCAAAATAGGATAATGTCAGGCATGCTGGTCTGAGTAGAGGCAAATATGATAAATAAGAGCGAGGCAAGATTCTCTAATGTTAAACCAAGCATCTTTTTTCCTATTCTATGTTTTGGCACGTTGTATAACTCACTAAGGAATGTGCCCTAGTTTATGGTAATCATGGAATGCCTATGTAAGACTGGTTTTCCTGGAACAGGTCAGATAGATCTGAAGGGACGGACGTTCAGCACCTTTCTTTGAAATAGCCCATGAATTTGGAAGAAGGTTAGGTTCCGAAACATATAGCAGTCAATCTGTTGCTCTATCTGCTAAGATAGCCACCTGATAGAGTTGCTTGGTAGAGAGATGGGCAGCATATATAGTTAATAAATAATTACATGGCTGTTTATTAGAACTAATAGATAAAACCTACCTTTGTGGCTTGTTGAAAGTGCTTGTGGTCACCTCCTGTTTGATACGTTTGACCTAAAGTAACTGTAGAAATATGCTAAAGCCCATATGGTCTTTTCTGACTAAAAGCTCTTTGAATCCCTCTCACCTTCTTCCTGAGAATTGCAGGACTGAAAATAGAATTATTTCTTGTGAAAACTCAGACTTTGGGCTTCACTACCTCTTTTCTGTCTATTAATCCTGGGTCCTTTAAATAGCACTTACTTCAACTTAGATGTACTGCTCATCCTGGGCATCTCATCCCACCATTTTTAGAAAATAGTAATTATCTTCAAGTTGTTCAACAGTGGGAGTAAGTTGGCAGGTTCCCCTACATCTTCCTTCATAGTTCACTTCTAATGAACTCCACACTGAGTAGTGCTGGATGGATGCTGTGCTATAAGCTTAATAAAATTTGAGGGGGGGGATAATTATTGAACTATAACAGTAAAAAAGTCAAGAAAGAAAGAAAAAAGAAATCTACGTCATCAGTTTTAGATAGGAGATGAATTTATGAGACACAGGGGAGAACTACTTTTTGCTTGTTCCTAAACAGCCAGATTCAATGTTTGCAGATGTGTTTTTTTTTTCAGAAAAGCAAAGTTCTTCTTCCCATTTCAAATTTGCATTGGAGAATAATATTTTTATGCACATAGTTTGCTTAATATATTCAAGTTGTTTTAAGAGTGTGCTCTACAGTGTTGTGTTTCATAGTTAGAATGATTTGAATAATGCTTGTCTTCCAAGGCAGACATGTAGAGAGGGCATGCCTGGTTGAGCTTGAATGGGTAGTTGATGTACCCTGAGCAGTATCTGCAGTGATTCTCTCAGCTAAAACTTAGAATCTTTTGACTCTCTTTGAGGCTAGAGAGCATTTTAAGCACAGGGAAAAGCAATTTGGTGATGGGACAATCCTTAATTCAAAGTGTGTGTGTGTGTGTGTGTGTGTGT